TTCCACTGTGTGGCAATTAATCCGCGGTATATGAGTTATTTGATCTCTGAAAAGACCGGGGCCAGATAAAGATGTTCGCTAGTGTTAGACTGATTTTCGTTATCACTAATTAGCCATACATTTTCAATACAAGTATTAACTGAAGTGTATTGACAATATGACGTATTACCCTTTATCAAAAACACTGTCAAAGACTGTCTGCGGCTACTGGTATAACACAATTTTTATAGCATTGAAATGAATTAGAGCTTGTAAAATAACGCTAGAAGGTAGAGTTGAAGGATATTCGTCTCAAATGCAAAACATGAAGCCTGCCACATCCCACATATTTATGAGTACCCTGTTCCACAAGAGAACTAATTGACATTCAACCAATGCTTAAATGGTAACAAATAATGATATTAACAACAATAATTATAATAATGATAACAATAGTACGGTAATAATATCTTAAAAGGGCTTGCTGGAAAGCTTTATAGTTCCCCCATCCCCTGAGCTCCAATAACAATGATTATGTTTTTTTTCCATTTCGCCTGTTTATACTGCACACGGTATGTTATGAATGCACGGCCGAGCGGTACACATAAATAATTTTCTAAATTTATTGCAATTTTTAATTTCAAACAAAGAGGCTCTCCGCGTTTTAGGATATTCCGTCATTCCGCGTCTTAAGATATTCCGCCATTCCTCAGTTAAGTTTTCATGATGTACCGATCGCATTCATGGACATATTTCTGCAAGGAATTGCGAAAAGTTTTGATTTAGACTATACGTCGGTGGATGCCACTGTAAAGTTATTTAGAGATTTTTATCGTCTTTTGTTGTGTCACGGCAAGAAATGAAGAGATTACATCTTCGGATCTACATAATTTGCTGATTTAAACAGTCAAATTCTCTATCTTCAAAGACAAACATCTTCCTCAAGTTTCATGATACGTTTTTAATCGCGAGAAATCCTGAAATCATTGTGAGACGCTTACGTAGCGTCACGGCGTGAACTGTAAAGATAATGTGCTACCGTCTTTAAGCTGGAAATCACAAGAGGAGAGAACTCAAATGTGTATCGCGTGCAACTGTCGAACTACTTAGATACTCCGAAAAAAACAATAAGTAGCACCGGGAAACATCAGGTTAAGATCGGAATTCTATTATAATACTCACTCACTTATCTCGACAACATATGTGGCTTCTCTTCCTAAAGGAAGCAGTAGCCGCAAAAACTGGATCATTGGATAACGCAGTTCTTGAGCTTCCATTGGCTTAGCCGTCATGACTTATGAGCAATTATACCATGCGCGCGCATGAGTAGGAGTTAAACTGGAAGTGTTTTGTACGATGTAACATTCCCTTTGTTCCTACTAAGTAAAGTTGGGATTATTTACCTGTATTTTGGGGCGTTTTTAATGCAATAATTATTTCTCTCTTTCTTGCTGTATATTAGATGATTATAGCCAGCTCAGCCCTACGGCAATCATAGGTTATCTGTAAGGTTGAATTAAGAGATTAATTACGTAACCTCCAATATTTTGTGTATCAGATACTACTAGTCCAATGGCTGCCCACAGGAGTCTTCTTTTGTTGGTTGTTTTGCTTTTGGTTATAAACTGGCCACACGTGGAGAGCAAAAACTTACACAAAGAGGTCTCAGGTGTCAACGATGGAGTCACATTGAGAGAGAAGAGATTCGCAGTGGATCCTCTGAGCGCAATCGGCCTTGCTGTGAGTGTAGCCTCAGCCATTCAAAGCGCTGTTTGTACGTTTTCAAGTGTCTGCGGTGGTGATGAAGTCACTCAAGCGCTCGAAAGGATGGAGGAAAAGCTGGATGCCATGCAGAATGACGTCACAAGCATCAGGCATGATGTGGAAGAAATTTGGAATGAATCAAAACGCAAATGGTACTTTAAACACATAGATAACATCATCCAACAGAGGAAGGCGGTTATCGCCGACTTAAAGAATAAAGACTACACTCAGCGGGCTAAAGACAAGCAAACCCGATTTATCCATGAGGTGTTTGGTACCTCATCAAAAGACGAGTACGTGGAAAAGGCACTTTTCCACATTCCAAAACTAGTCACAGATGAGGGACTGATCACCCATCACTTCGACGTCCAGATCAGAGATGGAAAATCTGTTAAAGAAGCTGCGAAACTGACATGGGCATTCATAAGGAAAATCTTTCGATACCAAGAAGATGGCTATGCGTCTATTGTCTTTGCAGCCTCCATGAAGTATAAAGATGATGAAGCATCTTACAACAGCACGATGTCCGAGGTCTGCGCTTGGTGGCCAAAGTCCACAGACCCCGAATACAAGAAGTTCTGTAAAAAGTTTGTTAAAGATACGACTGCCGAGAACCGAAGAAAGAGTCAGGAGGACTTCCTCTACGTTATAAGAGATCTGGCTCTTATTCCAGTTCAACTTGTGCAAACGGACTGCAGCAAGTTCGCGGATTCCAATGCGGTGCACTACTCCGAAGGTCATCTTTATGTTTCACAACCTGAAGCCAAAAAGATCTTGATCGTGGACCCAAAGACACTGGATGTCGTCAAGGCCCTTTCGGTACCTGGATCTGAATGTGGTGGAAATTGCCATCCAATTGGAGTAAGCATTAAGGCAAAGGACAACTTGATGGCGATTGGTGCAAAGAGCAGTTTGCCTGCGGGTGAAAGCAAAGTCATGCTGTTCAAGATAAAGGGCGACCTTACAAAACCAAGTGGCATCAGCATCGAGCACTACTATACAATGCTTCAACTCTTTCCTGTTAATAGAAAGGACGCCGATGTAAGAGACGTTGCATTTTGTGGAAATCGCTTTGGATATGCCGATTACAATGGAGTCATATACAACTGGAGAATGCCTGACGAATTGTACTATGGCTGGAATGATGGTAAGCCGGTGCCCGACTTGTATGACCGCAACGATTGGTCACTCAGAAACCAATATAACGTCAAAAAAGACCACCAATACTACCTTGGATGTTCAAACAGCCGAAGAGACTGGCTGGTGGAAAAAACAAACCGGGCTACAAAAGGAGATGGAGTAGGTGCAGTACCGTCGGATTTCAGTGGGTCCGTAAGCAATATCTTGGAAGAAGGGGCGGAAAACGTGGTTCTGTATGAAAATTGGCATGATGTTGGAGATGGGCGCTCACGGATGAATAATTTGAAGGGATTAGCCATGGATAGCAAGAGAAACTTTTTCTATTCCTCTGGAAGGCATTGGGCAAATGGTGTCTGTGGAGTGTACCAACGCACTTACGATGGCAAACGCCGCTACATAAGAGAATGGAATAAAGAGAGCAAGATCGAAATGTTTGGCATGGCAGTAGATGAAAGCGGCTTCCTGTTCTCAATACAGAAACATGGCTCAAAAGGAAAATGTCTTTACAAGTTTCACCATGAGATCGACTTGGAGGATATCAACGTACCTTAGAAAGACGGCGTAAATATTTCAATCATTCAAGCTGCAAAATGCACAAGATAATGCATAGTATTAAACCAATAAAGATGTCCCAAAAAGGAACAGCCACAGTAATTTTTCTTCATTAAAGCCTTTTTCTAAAGGCTTAGAATCTCTCTCTGAGTTTTAGCATTCAAATTTGTCCAGTTTTGGTAGCTGTTAACACAGTGCAATTACCACGTTCATAATGATCATCCAAGTTTAACGACCCAGTTTACCCTTTGCTTTTATCATATTTCTCTTTGACAATCGGAAGTTCACTCTTCCCTAGAGGAGTGCCCAATACGTAATGAACAGAATAATTAGCCACAAAGATGGGTGGAAGTTTTTACAATTCAGTCACCATGTTTACCATTTCTATATCCTCGGGTGAAAACTTTCGTAGCGAAAGGGACATGTTTTAGAGGTGTCGGGATCCACCACATTTTCCTCGTAGAGCAGTTGGTACATTTCGGTTTGCTCCATAGCAGCAATAATGTAACTTCGTCACAGACTTGGCATAGAGAGCACTATTTCCATTTATACAGGTATATGAACAATGGAACAAGCTAGCGCAAACTTACAACCCGGGTTTGTATAAAGTGCATATTTTTAGCACTCTTGGTGATTCAACTCAGAGTAAAATTCAACCCAAGCCTCTGTACAGAAGCCAAAGGAGCTACTTGATTTTTTCTACAAGAAAAAAAGAAAAAGCTTAACTTTGCTTTAGAAGTCTCTGTAGACAATTAACCCTTCCACTAGGTTAATATTGGTACCCTGAGATCGCTTACTGCAAAGTTGCCTATTTTGGAACGTCAACAGTTTTCAACCTCTATCCCCCTAAAATCCCTTTAATCCACAGGGAACCTCTAAAAACACCTGCGCGATATTCAAACGCCGTTCCCGTCCTCTCCAAGCTCCAAAAAGACCCTAACTTTAATTAGCAAGTTTCTAAAACCGGTTCCTCTCTTCAATACTACAAACAGAGCATTTTGAGCTACACTTAACCATGAAAGAAAAAAAGAAAAAACCAAGAGCACTGCTTTGATCACGGTTAACATCTCCAGCTGTGAAGTAATAGTATGAATAAGAAATCATTTGGTAAAAGATGGAATTTTGGTTCGGTCGTACGAAAAGCTGATTCATTTCATATTGAAACAAGTAGTAAAAAACGTTTTCGATGAGTTCCAGTGATTCATTGTACTCGTCTATTCCGTTATTTTATTCATTTAGTTAATCGTTTATCATTTTTTTCTTTGAGTTGAGAATCGAAGGTATTCATGCTGAGCTCATAAAAGTATATTTGTCTAACTGAGCATTATGATGATGAATTCGTGGGTTCCTTAAAAAGGTTTATTTTTAATACAATAAACCCTATATGAAATATTAATATTACGTAGTTCTTCATAATTTTACATAAAGCAAACAAAAGAATCACCACTTATTTAAGAGGTGGCTGTAACACAGACATCTGACGATCAAGATATATTATCTTCATTTTGTCAGTTTTGAGAGAACTGTATTGACACAGAGTAAGTGACTTTCTCGATCTACAAAACATGAAAATCCTCAACGCATTTCTAATCCTAGCTATCTTCAGAATAGCCTTTACCATTACTATCGCGGCTAAAGTTGACGCTGATTGCAAAGTTAAGACAGGTCTGGGCCAAGCCCTCACAGGGCATAGTTTCTCAAGTTTTACTGTGAAAGACTTTCAGGATTGCTACCAAGAATGTAAAGCCAATGAACCAAAATGTCGTAGTATGAATTACAATGGTGACCACAAACGCTGCGAGCTCAATAACGCAACTGAGACATCGCATCCGCAAGATTTGAAGGAAGTCCCTATGTCTGTATATTTTGAGAGCCGTCATCGAGGTAAATGAAATGAATATAAAGGAGATATGCTGGCGTTTAGGTACCTTGCACAATATAAAAACGTTACGAGCTGAAAGAAACCTTTACTTTTATGTTTAATTTAAACAATGTGAATACTTAATCCACTTGCCTGTGAAACAGTTGAATTCTATTGCAAATTGTTTAAGCGACTTCTGGAAGTTATCAGCTAGCTAAAATATATTGTATATTACGTTGGCAATCGTGTAGACACTATTTCATATCTTTCGACGACCACTTATTTTGGGAAAGATAAAACTGTGCAGAGTCGTTGTTCGTTAAGAAGATCAGAGTTTATTTATATTGCTCTGAACTGTTACACACTGGAGCAACAGCGAACTCAATTTGGTAGTAAAGCAAAATTTTATATTACAGATGATTTTTAATTTTTTCTGCTCTTCTTCTACCCTTGCTTAGTCTTGTGACGAAAAATTTACATGTACATGGGACGCACAAAAAACACTGAAATTAAATAACTGGCTTAATTCAGGATAAACGTTTGAGGCTTTCCTTTTTTTCAATTATTAGTATCTGCAGGCTCTCAACGTCATGTCGCTGGTAAAACATGTCAGGAAATCTTATCAAGAGAGGAGTCTGCAAGCGATGGATTCTATTGGCTGAATTCAAATGATACAGAGGATCCATATGTTTCCTTCTGTAACATGACAAATGGAGGCGGTAATGTTTAAAGAAGATTCAAGCGTTATAATTTAGCAGTCTGTTAAGTAAACAAATTTTCCTTCCAGGAATTCTTAAATGATTAAAATCATTCTTCGCATGTCTAATAATTGGCTTTCAAAAGAAGAAAGCCTTGATCTGAAAGCTGCCATTAAAATTTTCACTCCCAAGATCTAATTAGTAATTCTCCTTACTATCTCCCATATAATTCTTATAATGTTAGTTCAGAGAATTTGGTATTGGATCAACTAATAATCCCATAATTGATACTCTTCTCTATTCTCATTTATTGATATTGATATTGTATTGATATTGTAAGGAGAAATTCTGTCTTGGTCACTTGTGGGAGTGAAAGGGTTAAGCACTTTGTGTCCTAGATTGTGGAAGATAAGTTCGCCACATACGATTGATTTTTGAAAAAAAAAAAAAAAAAAAAAAAAAAAAAAAAAGAAAAGAAAAGAAAAAACAGACGTTTTTATCCACTATACATAGCCTATCATGCTCCTTCACAGTAAAAAATTCAGACTGTCATTTATACGACAATACTCGTAACACTGACTCAAAATAGTGAATACGCTCTGCTTAGACCACTTACTCTCTTGTTTCGGGATCATACACGATTACTGCGTTCACCAGGGTCGAAAAAGGCCAACGCTAATGGTAATACTTTCTTCGCAGACATCAGTGCATCGTATGACTTGATATTTCTGGACCGTAACACAACGAACTTCGTGGAACTGAATACCTCTTTACCAGACCTCTCCGCCTTCACAGTATGCTTTTGGTTCAGAGCCTGGGCGCGACAGTTGGTTTTTTTGTCCTATGCCACCGGCAACATGACCGATGCTATAATGATGTTTCTTTCTGAAACCGGATTATTTCGATTCTTGGTGCTCAATAAGCAAACGTGAGTAAATAATGACTTTCATTATTTAATCAGTAAGACTATTTTCGGGGAGACACAGTATCCTTCCCCTTTGTTGGCGACTGAGTATCAGGTGGAAGGTTTGGGTTAAAAGGTTAGGGTAATGGTTAGGGTTAGGATTAGAGAAAAAGTCTTTTTCTTCATTTAAGGTCATTTTTTTCTCATATAAAACTTATACTCATATAAAACTTTCCTTACGTTGTCGGGAGTCGAAGGTTGGTCAGAAATCAAATGCAACACCGAGAAATCATCACAGAGTTTAAATCTGCCCTCTCATGCATCGAAAAACTATTTCTACAGGCACAGTCATACCGGTACCTATAATGATAGAGTGTGGCATCAAATGTGTGGCAAATGGACGGACAGTGATGGTTTTGTGCACCTGTTTGTAGACGGAGAGCTTCAGATACGCGGTGACACAACAATTCATGGAGTCATTCCTGGCACTGGAAAATTAATTCTGGGCCAAGATCAGGATACTTTTGGAGGTGCTTTTGATAGAGAGCAGAGTTTTGTTGGTGAGATGAGCCACCTGTATCTCTGGAACACTGATTTAGAGGACAGCGTAATAAAAAGCTTGAGCATGCACTGCAAAGAGTATCCGCATCCAGGTTACATCTTGAGGTGGTCCGATTTTTCGACGGGGATAAACGGCAATATTACGAAACGTGACAATTCGAGATGTGTTACAAAGCAAGATGTTTTGCTTTAGAACGAGCCTTGAAAAGGAAAAGGTTCGTGGCCTGTGAAGGTTTTGTATTGCTTATTTCAAAACATTATAGAGTCACAAAGAAATACATTTAGGTGGAAGAAAACCGAACATTTCCTTTAGATGCACAAACAGTGACTAAGTTTCTTTCCCGTTAAAACTGGGAAAATCTATGATTGTCAGTAAACCTTTGCACTGCCACCTTGTTATCTATAATCAAAATATATAAAAAACTCCGTAATCATAAACTCATAGTTTGTAAAGTTTTCATTTTTTCCGCCAAGTGCGATTGAACTTAATAAAAAAGGACAGTTTACAAAAAAGATCGAAATTTTTCATTTTGCAAGAATTCATGAAGTCCTTGCTTAATTTACCAGAAACCTTTAATTTCAAATTTGATTTACTATACAACCGCCCTAATTGCTATTGGGTATGTACTTTCCTTTGTATGTTTCTTACGGCTATCAATTATTTACAGCGAGTGATGCTCAATTCTGTTGTTCACAGATATGACAATTTATAAGCAAACTACCTTTTTGACTGCTCTCAACTGACACTTAGAGGAAATATTTTCACAGTAGCGTCCTGATTTCAAATGAGGGCCTAATTCAATAAACATTTCAAAAAGGAAATCAACGAACAAAACGTAACATGACGTTTCAACGACTTCGTGTGATTCGTGATGTCTGAAAGTATACTAAACTGTGGAACTATGTAAATTACATGGACGAAAACTGCAAGCAAGGAAGCGTGTTTATTAAAAGTTTCGCTCGGATAGAGTCAGTGCGGATGTTCAGCTTTGGTCTTTCCTATTTCATTTCATTTGCCAAAACCAAACAGAACCAGTCAAAGCCAACAAATAGTACAGAACAACTCCATTTACGAATTAGTTATTTGAATTCAGCTACAGTCATTTTAAACCTTGTAACTCGCACTCGGTTAACATGATCGAACCGAGCTGACCCAAACTCCCCTGTATGTCCATTTTTTTGTTTGCCGGACAGTTCGAGTTAGCGCGGTGTTCCACAGCACTGCCCACCCTAATAAGTCAACGCTTACATTGTTTCATGTAGGTACGTGCTTCTAAATCTTGAGTTAAATTTTTAGCTTCATTTAGATATTGTACCCATTAAAATTTAACCATCCTCGACAGAGCTTTTATCTAACAATATTCACTACATACTGTGGTTTAAGATTCCAATATAATTACAGAAGCGTTTAGACTTGTCTCCAAATGTGCTGAGTACTCGACTTCAAATGTCGCCATATTGAAAACTACTCAGGAACCTAGCCGCACACATGGCTTGGTTACTGAGTTACCAGATGACGGGAACTGAATGGCGAATTGAGACCTTGACGTGCGCTTCACCAAAAGCTGCAACTCTGGTTCACTAAAACATGCAAAAATTTTCATGCAAAAATTCCCTGCTGTGTAGCGTAGCGCCTATCTGTTCAAAACGATCGCCAAGAGCTGAGCGAAAGACGAGTAAATCGGGGTTTTGACACAGCAACCGGTTAATCTTTCTGGCCAAGAATGAACGTAACAGCACATTAAGGCAAATTTCATTTAGTTAGGGCCGTATTCCGAAGCTGAAAACGCTCTCACTTTGAGTCACAACTGTACATATAAGACTGAGACTATATGGTTTCTTGGAGTATGCTTCTCTTTTAAGAAACACTCAAGAAAAAGCTAAGGCCTCTTCCCCCCCCTCCCCCCTCTCCCCTCCCACTACCCTTTAGTAAGCCTTAAACGGGCTTGTTGGCTTGGCACGACTAGTAGTGAGCACCCTTAGCCAGGTCATGTAGAACTTCCAAGAATGTGCTTTATGGAACGAACTGATCAGGTATAAAGTCAGAATATGAATGTGAAATTAACCCGGACTTTAAAACCTGGAATGATAAGTTGCTGGCAAACTTATTACGATTTTGTAAGTAAAGTCAATTTACAAATGATTGCGTCGCTCGCGACCTATTTACAGGTAGAGCAGCTGTGTCTTTTGGAGTTCCTACTGTTGCACCTGATCGCATAGAGCGAGGAGAAAGCCACAGGGCCTTAATATGCCTTCTGAAATCTTTGCTCTGAAAACAGTAGATAATTGGATTGGCAGCCGAGTTTAACGAAACCAGAACCACTGTCGTCGTGTGTACTACATCACCGTGAGAATTCAAACCGTAGAAATCAAGAACGTAGGCAATGAGGTTTGGAAGCCAGCATACAGCGCACACAACTGTCACGGATAACACCATTTTCGTGACACGCTTGCGTGATCTGACCACTGCAAGCTGAGGGAGGTCCACAGGCTGTGATTTTCTCACCCAAAGCTGATAAACAACTCGGCTGTACAGAACGGACATGATGGTAACCGGCAGAATACCAATCATGATGAGCCATCCCAAGCTGTAAGCATTCATGTACCAACCAGGGGGCCAGTCCTCGTAGCAGAAATCTAAACTCGCGTCGTATTTAACGAGCAGAAACAAGGGAAGATTCCAGCAGATGGAAAATAACCAACAAGCTGGGATGATAAATTTGAGTTTTTTTTTCGAAATACGACGGTTCTCGTCATGGGGATACAGCACCGCAAAGTACCTTTCAAACGCAACTCCAATTAACGATACAACCGACACCACTCCCCCTGTCCACATAAGGTTCCCACCAGTGCATAGTTTGCATAAGTACTCTCCAGTGAGGCCATTCGGATGGTTAAACGTATGGAGGAATATATATTGTGGTGCTATAAAGACGGCCACCATCATGTCAGCGCAGGCAAGGTTGATAAGCAGGAAGTTCATGGCAGTTCTCATCCGTCTGTTCCGCCAGACCACCAAGCAGACCGATGAATTGCCAACGAGGTTGACTGCCACGATCAGCGAAAACGCCGTGCGAAGACCGATTTGTGCCGCCTCAGAGTATGTAAACAAAGACATGGTGTACAGAAGATTCCAAACTTGACAGAAAGGAAACCGCTCAGATCTGAAAACAAAGTTTCAAGATATCAACAGATCGTATCGATTGGCACATGTTTTATCTTTTCCTACTAAGAGCATAAATTTTGAGTGCATTGTATTAAAATCAGGCATTCCAAAATATCTCAAATATGTCTTTGCTTCTCCAAAAAATTAATATGTCTTTAACCTCACCACAGTTATTGTTTGACAATGGTTAGTGACTTTTATACTATGCAAATGTTGCCGAGGTTTAAGTTTCTACGATTCAAAGCTAGTCGTGTTTAACCAAAATTGATTCCACACCAGAAAAAAGGGGCGAGATTGTTATTAAGCAGAGGAGTTCTGGTTAGAAAATCACTGCCCCTCTCGTTGCATCCGTTTCATAGCCTACATAAAATGCCTTTGCTTCTATTGAGAAAAAAAAAGTTAGCGTCTTTAACTTCACCATTGTTAAAGTTTAACATTGTTTATCTTAAAATCAGGTCTTTTAAGCTATGTCAAACATGTCTTTGCTTCCCCCCAAAAGAGAGTTTGTGTCTTTAACTTCACTATTGTTATTGTTTGACATTGGTTATTGACCTACCATGCAAATGTTGCTGAGGCCTTAGTTTCTACGATTTAGAGCTCGTCGCTTTTAAGCAAAATTGATTCCAAACCAAACAAAAAGCACGAGACTGTTCTCAAGAAAAAAAGTTCGTGGAGGAAAATCAGTGGAACTCTTGTTGCTTCCGTTTCATCACCTACATAATTCCAAGTTTGACGGAAAAAAATATAATTTGGCACGATTCATTTGTCTATCTGCGTTTACACAACACCGAAAAAACTAAATAAAACCTAAGAACTTGAAAGAAACCACCAGCCACGGAAATAATTAGATAGCTGTACTTCGAAAAGGCTTTTCATTCATTGGAGAATTTAGGCTCAGCATGACATTCATGTCAAAATGCCAAAACTCCAAAATTGAAATTATTAGCCGCGTTTACTCTATGAGGTAAGAGCTTGATTTTTTCATTACCTGAGAGATGTGGATAACGTTATTCACTTTACATCACTGCACAAATCTTTTGCAAGTAGATGTGACCTGTAAAAAAAAAACTTAAGTCAAATCCTTTGTACAAGGGTAAAAAAAAATAACAGCCAGGTTTGGCATCGAAGACTTCTAAGTTCAAACATGAAATTGAATGACTTATATCTTTTGACGTATGGCAATTTCTTCATCCTAAAACGTCAAACTCTGACTGCCAGTCAATTGAAATATGACAATTTCCTCTTCCGAACACTATAATTGCTAATCATGGCTCTCATTATTTGAACTGGGTGGAACAAAGTAAGACGTCACAATGTTAAGCTTTAAAGCCTTAAGGACTAAGACTGTGATAAAAAAAAAATTAAAAAAAAAAAAAAAACTCGATAATTAGCCTTCTCCCTTACTTCAACGGACTCTCCTCTTTTTCCTGTTGCCATTTTTGTTTTGTTGTTTTTTATTTATTCGTTCTCTCTTTTTTATCTTTTTTTTTTGCTTTTCGTCTTTTATTGCTTACATTTCTTTTTGCCAAAGAATACCATACAAAGTACATCTCACTCGATAATGTGCAAAGAAGTTGAGGGCGATCGAAAACACGCTAACCCAACGATAATAATTGAATATAGATGAATTCCTGAAAAAAGGGCAGCTTTTAGTAAAACGGTCTTATCTGGAACCGTTCTGGCAAGTGGAAATTTCAATCTAAAGTCTAAAAATTTGCGTTCGAGAGAAAAAGCACCACTTCAATTTTGTAGGCAATGATCATATTTTCCGGTGTAATTCTGGAAATCTCTTTACAAACGGAATCGACGTTTACCTTACACTACAACTTTCCTAAAATCGCAGATCGACTGACACACACCTTTTTCAGAAAGAATTATTTGTCAAAAGGCAGGGCGAAACTAATTTAGGCCTAATTCTTTGATTAAGGCGATTCGCTATTGACGGAAAAACGGAATAAAACACCGATGTAGCTTATAAAACTTTTTAAAGACTTCATTAACTCTCCCAGAAACTTGTAAGTTCGATATTCGATCCTAGTAAGCCCTGTTGATGCAAAAATACTGCATATTTGCCTTTTAGAAAGAACTAAGGAAAATACGGAGTTAGGATTGAAATGACTCTGTTGATGATG